CAGCTCCACTCGCACTTTTTCTTTCTTCAAGATATGTATTTCTCCCCATCCAGACGAAGACTTCTATCCCACAATCCAGTATATAGCATTTGTCTGTGTCCAAAAGCTCCCTTGTCAAGGAATCAACTTCAACTGGTTCAGCCTGCCCCTTCTCAACCCATAGAAAGCAAACATAATTCAATCAATTATCTTAATGTAGTATAAATCTAGAAGGAACTGTTATAGCTACTGTTCTTGGTTCACATCTCAAATGCTTTTCCTCAAAAACTCAAAACTGGTACTTTGTTTGAAATTTTAGTGGAAAAATCTTAAGAAAATGGTGAAAGGAAAATGAAATGAAGAGTGACATTAAGATATATAAGTACACTGGCATATAAATATTGGATCTCAATCCAATTTAAGACACTTGTTAATTCAGGGAAAAACAATGACATTGCAGAGATAAAACTGACATTCCTCTTCCAAGTCAGGGAAACACCAAGATAATATACCTTTGTAGCTTGGTAGGATATGAATCAACAGTCTTATCCTCACTATTGGCCATTTTCCTAGGAAGTGGGGCAAAGCCACCAAAAAAACTCCAAAATTCTCCAGTTTCAACATCATCCATCAACTTTCCATCCTCTGCATAGAAGGCAAGTGTGATTCAAGATGTTAATGCTTATTCATCACCATGAACTTCCTTGGAACCAAATAATTTAGTTCACTTACCAACAGCAGCTACTTCACATTTTCCATCATGATAAGAATCTTTAATGTACTGAACAACTTCTAAGGCTTTGGCCTGCAAGTGGTCCGACGGCCATGAGAGGGGTTCGGCAGCAATGAAGGAAAGAAGATGATGAAGATTGACGCCATGATTTGTTAGATCCGGAATGCCTGACGGCCATGGCTTTGGTGAGGCCAAATCTTTCTTGGGTTAAGATTGGTCTTTTTGATCAATGCCTGCAACCAGAAATCACCATCAACATAAAGAAAGAACAGAAAAAGGCGTACAAATGAATTGCTAAGAAGTGATAGTGATACAATAATTTAAACAAGAATGGATGAGCACATACAATTTCTGTGGCATCTACTCGAGTTCCAATTATCTTCAGGCGGACTTCAGTATCCTTTTGAATCTTAACCTGGAAGAAGCATAAGTGAGAGACTGAAGGAACACATCTGTGCAAAAGAAAACTAACAATTACTTGTTTTTGAAAGAATAAGCTAAACCATACCGATCCATCTGAAGTAGTATAATTGGGAATATCTCCAGATTGAAACTCCATATCATCCGGAATCAACTACCAAAGTAAAAACCATTATCAATAGAGATGCAAAAGACATGTATAGCATAATCAGTTAATCACAGGTCAAGGACATAAAGTATGAGCAATTAAAGACGCCCAATTTTGTAATCCACCTAGCAAAAAACGAATTCTGGAACATTTTCTACAGAGATTGGCCCAACCCTAAAGAATTATGTTTAATTTATGTAATATGTTTCTTCTGAGTAACATGCTGTTTTGTTACATTAGATAAAGAACTTATTTAATTTATCAAATTTATGTTTCTTTGTAGTTTGTATTACTGTCTTGCTTTTAATGTAGCTTGTTAAGTGTATGCAAGTGGAGTTCCTAAGTTCCTCATTACTAAGCTTCATCATACATCAATGGCTAAGTGGCAAGAAGTAAAGCATTTCAACCCAAAAAAAAAAAAGAAAGA